ACCCTCAACTGCCTTCCTCACAGCTTCAAACACACGAGCCTCGTGACTCCCATGCCTGACAATAACCTCTGCCTCTGGCTCCAGAAAAGCTTCTTCACGTTCAACCTGGTCGTACACAACCATAGATCTAGAGGCCAAACGATCGAGGGCAGCCTTGATGGTCTCGAAGGGGATTTGCGCAAAGGTTTCGGTCGAAGAAATCGGTTCGTCCGTCTTGGAGAGGGCGAGAAGGATCTCAGAGGTGAGATCCCCCGCCGCGTTAGTTGTTGTAGCAGCCATTGTGTATTTCTTGTTTTGTTGCAAGAAAGACAAAAGGTTCGCCAAGGTAAAGGTCCGATATCAAGGTGCTGTCTGTCTCCTTCGAGAAAGTCGATCGGTATTGACTCACAAACCCCAGTCAATGGCGGGGCACTGCTGTTCGGGCGTGGGCCCCACTTTGTCTTTTGGAAACAATTTTGGCGGGGTTTCCAATTGGGGGACCCTTGACCCGATAAGCGCATATCTACCGTTCACAGGGCTTTCTTGGCCGATGCGTCAGTCGGCGACATCAAAGAGTTTTAACATCTATTCAATTTCTTCGGTGTAAAGGGTCTCTTGATCTCAGGGCCTGGGGCCGTTGGCATAGGTGAATAAACCATGGTCCAAAGTTCATCTCCAGATATGCAACTTGAAGATTTATCTACTTGGGTTCTCCTTGCCATCAGCGGTTGCAAGGGTGGGCCTATAATAACTGTCGCCCTTCGACGTTTGCTGGTGTGGTTCTTTAGTGTATTTGTTGCTATCACTTAAGAAATGCCCATCAAGGTCCTAAAGGTCTGTCCTTTCAAGAAATCATGCTCATTCTAAGAAGGCTTCCCTGGGATTGAATACGAAAAGGGATCGTGGGGGTTTACAGGCCTGCTCAAGGACTTACTCTTCCACTCCCATGAAACAGCCAACTCTAGATAAAAGAAGATTAACCTCAGGTCCTTTCCCAGAGGATGCTTATATTAAAAGTTGTAGGGTTCTGTATACGTCACCGCGCCCTCAAAAGAACGCTTATCCCATTTCCTCCTGATGCAACCTCTACGCCGTTTCGCATGATATCATCCACTATCGCGGTTTAAACAAAGCATGTGGTTCCTCATTAAAACGCCGAAAAGGGGCTCGCCGTCCCGTCTTCAAGTTTGTGTGTAAATACCCAAGTCCGGGTCCCGGCAAAACCGTAAAAACAAGGTTTGTGTTGCCCATCTGTGTGTGTGTGTGTGGTACAGAGGCTGCCCCGTCCGTGTAATTCCAAAGCATGGATGCTGATCCTTTATTCCTGTGATACGGTTTGCTGTACGCTCTGTCAGTACCGCTGCCCTCGAAGTATTAACTCTCTTGGGACAAAAACTTACCACCAACCAGTCCATTCCCTCGGTTATACCCGAGCCCTCTACAGCACTGCATGCCATGATGCTCCAGTTTCTGTCCCTCAACTCGCCGAGCCTGAGTGCCTGGGAAATATCACCTGCGCCCTTTGCTCCTGGCTGATCTTGCTTGTTCGCAAATACCAATAACGCAGCATCTTTGAGTTCCTCCTCGTTCAACATGGCTGCCAACTCGTCCCCTGCCGTTTGCAGACGCTCGATATCAGTCGAGTCGACCACGAAAATGACTGCCGCCGTGTTTGCATAGTAACATCTCCAGTAAGGCCTGATGCTGGTCTGTCCGCCGAGATCCCACACGTTAAAGTTGAGGTTCTTGTACGTCACTGATTCAACGTTGAATCCGATGGTCGGTATCGTCGTTACTACCTCGCCGATCTTGAGTCTGTAAAGGAGAGTAGTCTTGCCAGCGTTATCCTGGAAGAGCGCATCTGCGTCAGTACTCTGCGCGCGCGCGTTTTAGGGGTTGAACCAGGGAATGCTAACCAGTCCCAGGATCAGAATTCGGATTTCCTTCTTTGCCCAAAACAGGTTGGAAAGGCTGGACAACCATGACATGCTTTGACCCATTTTGCCGTTATTGACACCCGGTTGATCCGGCGCGTTCGTTTGATATTAGATATGGAGTATTTAGTTCGTTGATGCGGGTGCGGACGGCGAGGTTGTCGCGAAGGCGGTCCACCAAAGGACAGCCTGACAAGACAAGGAGACGGGAATCGGATAGCAAAGCCCGAGAACGGCGGCGCAACTGAAAGACTTTTATAAATACCGCCTATAAACAGATAAAAAAACGCGTATATCTGTTTTGTTGAGAGGCCCCCTGCTTTTATTTCAAATTTAATAACCGAAGTTTTTTGCTAGTCGTCCATGCAACGGTTTTGGTTCGTTCATGGAAGAGCATCGGGTTCCAGATTCTAGAATGGCCCCTTGTCTTGATAAACGGGTGACGCACAGGCTCCGTTGGATCGGAATGCGATTGGCAGACCGCCTTGAATCGGCAGTGGAGGTCCCTCTGTGCCGCTGCAGGCCTTTTGAAAGCTGGGAGACTTCTTGGCAAGCCACTTTTCCAGAGTTCACCAGCCACAAAGATTTTCACAGTCTCCACGTGACTCAGCCACGAATCACACACGGTCGGCCCTAGCACAGGGCATTTTTCTAAAGCCCACACCATATTTTCGAATCCAACCCACTCTGCCGCAGCATCACGGAATCGACATCTCTCGGTACTCCAGACAACACCGACAAAATGCCGGTACGTAGCGACTGTTTGACGCCTAATTATTGACTCTGACGAACTTGCCGATTTCAAATTCGATAATTGTGCAAAATTATCGCCAATCTTTTCGAAGGAGAGATTGGGAGAGGGGCATCAAGAGTCGACAATGGCGGATCAACCATGACAATGACCTGCAGAAGCTAATATCCCTGATTCTCAACAGAGCCACAAGACCTTCAAGATCAAGCAGAAGCTTGCTAAGGCCCAGAAGCAGAACCGCCCCATTCCCCAATGGATTCGTCTCCGCACTGGTAACACCATCAGGTACGATCCCTCGAACTTTTTAACGTCGACGACATGATCACCCGATACACCGGCAGCATGAAAAAGAGCGGGAAATGCTGACAGAGTCAACCTTTCAGATACAACGCCAAGCGTAGACATTGGCGCAAGACCCGCCTTGGCCTCTAAATGCCTTTTCTCTTCGTCCTTATTCCTCATTTCGACTTCCAACGAGACAATGTACGATTCGACTTTTTTCCTCACCTTGCTTTCTGGTGGACACCAGTAGCAGACGACCGAACGAACTCCATCTCCCAATTTTGGTAGCAGCAACATTTGGACGTCCAATTTACGATGAGTAACGACAAACAACTTATTACGACCAGATGGCATGCTTGATCCAAAAGTTCTTTTATCTTATCGTCTTTGTGGGGGAGCTGAGGGAAACTTCTCAAGGGTCAAAAAATTGGGGAGTTTCGGTCAATGAGGCTTGAGGACGACAGATTAGAGGATTTGGGAGCGGAGTTTTAAATTTGGGCCAAGGGGATTCTTTCGGTTGGGCATTTTTCGGATGGGTTTAACTGGGAAATCAAATCTTCTCATTTTGCCTTGTCCTGGACTTGATTTAAACGGAGTATTGCCATGGTATTTTTTGAGGGTTCCAGGGATAAACGAAAAAAAAAGGAATGAGAAAGAGAAAGCATTTGATTGCTGACAAGCAACATGGTACCTGTTTGTGATGTATGGTCATGTTTGTGGTTATGACGCAACAGACTTTGGATTCGAGCCATTCTATTCCTCTTTGAGTGCCTTGTGATTGCTGGTCTACATCTTGTATTTCTTGTAAGGTGAGCTGCAGATGAGAGATGAAGCACAGCAATGGATGGCTGATCGTCAAGAATGCCAGTTTCTTCCCACAGGTAAACCGCACTACAGATCTATAAAGCAGTCACCCGTCACAGCACCATCAACGGGTTATTAAAGAGCTAATTCAAGACCACCTTATCCTTTACAATAGGTGTCTTCAAGAATCTTTGTGGTCTGATAATCACATCGTCGTTCTTAGTACACCTGGGAACTTTTAAAAGGCTGCTTTCCTTCCCTTTTCTGGACGACCTACTGGATATGTTTCTTCCCGGGTCTGTATATGTTCTCTCCGCTTGTTCAATACGTATGGAACTTTATATCTTAATACTGCTCCGTATTTGGCTTCCTGGACGAATATTTGTTATTTTTCACTATTTTATGTTATTGACGGTTGGCTTTGTTCAAGACAACTGCTGGGGTGGTGCTGGACAGGATATGCTATCCATCCAGGATTTATCTTTTGTACATTGCAGCATGATCACCACCTCCATTTACTCATTTTCAACACTGCAGAGGCTCAAGATGTCCAAGAAGAGAGCAACCACCATGATCGCCAGTTTTTTGGTATCTTCCAGTAACGAATCTCTTACTCACGGTCATTCATAGTTGTGACTTCGAGTGCACGACTATCATGCTTCAATCACCAAGAGCTGTCTAGTCACAAGGCATTAAAAGCAGTCATTTTTGGGGACCATAGTACCAGCCTTCTAGGACCCGGAAAGCAACATTTCCTCCTGAGCCAATAAAACTTTCCACATCTACGACAAACTCAGATGAGCAACCAAATAAACCAAACCATGTTATCTAAAACATACCTGTAAAACTCCAGATAACCCAAACAACCTCTGGCCAGCGAACCTGAATTATCTATATGATGCATTCCAATTTCCCGGTTCCTCTTAATCTACATAGCTCTGCGCAGAACAATTAATTACACAACATACTCTCAGCACCTGCGGATCCAATCCCTTCTGTTATCCCTTCACCCTAATGTTGACACTCCATCTCATCATATATCCCAGACAATCACACTTACCTGTAGACTTCGTTTCACATTCCTTTTAAAGCATTTTGAGCAAAGGCAACGAACGGTCTTATATCATTCCCATCCCCGTCCCTCTAACTAAACAAGCCACATAACTCCACCATAACCACTCTTCCACCACCCACACAAGACTATCTATTTCAGAATTCTGGCTCTGGTTTTCACACAAACCAATCTGACAGTCCCCGTAGCTTAGCGTTCAGCGTTTGTGTGCTTTTCTTCAGCGTAATATATTTATCCAGCGAATTTGATTTAAGGCAGCGAAAGACGTCGGTTCGAATCCGACCGGGGACAATATTTCTTTTTTTCTTTTTCTATTATACTACGGAGTATACAATAAATAGTATCTTTTTATTCTTGGTAGTCTTTTATCATCCTGTGTTATTGTTTTATGTCCTCTATCACCAATCATCTTCGTCTTCCATCATCTACTATCCTCCACTATCATTACCACCGGACCACCACCATCTTCTATCGGCTGGCTTTTATCTTCATACCCCTTCCGTAGGATATTCTGTTCCTGGACTACTACTTTACTACTTTCTTTTTCCTCTATATAATTCCTGTATCTTATTAACATGTCCTTTCTATTTTTAAAACGCCTGTTTTTATTTTTGTTTAAGGAATGGTTATTTTATTTGTAAGAAGTTCCTTTTTATTATTTTCTCTTTTTATTTTAAATAACTTGAAGCATTTTCCATTTCAAAAGGCACGTTTAGAATCCATCCGAGGCACAAGAGACAAAAAAAAAAAACAATATCTATATTTCCCAACAATTATTCCAAACCTCCCACAACCTCATCCCATATACCTCACACTGCAACACATCTCATCCCATATATTTCCCGCTGTCACAATCCACACAATCTTCAACCAAATTCCCAATCCCCCATCCACAAGCCAGATAATTACAAACCATACCAATTGCAATCAACTGCAGATACTACAGTGTATACAGTGTATACAGTCAACAACCCCTCCCTCAAGTCGCAGCAGAATCACACGTAAATTTTTATTTATCCAACGCCCTATCAAACAATCCCACAAACCTGACCTGTAATCAATGAACCAAATCGTAAAACTCATAATTCATGGCAAGATTCCCCACCACCAGTCCGCCACAGCATCATCATCACCATACCAATCAACTTGAATACTCGGAGCAAGATTGGATTTCGGTGGGGCATGGACTTTGGATTGGAGGCAGCCAAACTTACATGTGCCATGGTAACCAATTATAACCGAATAAGTTTATATGAGATCTGCAAGCGATGGAATCCCGCAGAAACCAAAATCCAAATCACCCAAGGACATGCACAAGATTGAATGGTCATGTCTCTGTATTATTCTCGCTGCAAGCTATTTGCTAAAATTGCCCCCTTTGAGGGCGATGCCAACCCCAACTGCTAATATCAGAGACGATACCTGACCGACCCAAGAAAAACCAAGATAAGAAATACAAATAAACCGAACGCCCCATATTCATTCCTTAATAGAATGCCCGTAAGTGTTTTGCAAATGACTCAAGTTGTAACTGGCAGGACTTAACGATCCTCGGCCCACTCGTTCTCCCTACGAATTTGCTCTTCCTCCTCAGGTGTGAAATCGTTTGTGATGTTGAACGTCTTGCGGATCTCCTCGGGAGATTTGCCCTTGATCATGTTGGCAACTGTCTTGCACCCGACGTCAAGAAGCGCCTTGATATCCATGTAATTGGCAGCCTGCAATGTCTGTGTTAGTATGCTAGTGTTTGGATCCAAGTCTGTTCGGGTGCGGTGGCTACTCACCAAGATGATCTCAAAAAGCATCTCCTGGTCGACTTGCATGAACTTCTGATCCCACTCATCGATATCGGTGGTCTTCTTGCGGTTGTCGTTCTCATCGTCACCTGATTGTGCGACGTCATTTCTGTGGTGCTCGCACCACTCAACAACCTTGTTAAGAACTGCGGAGTTCACGTTCATGAGAGGAATGGCATCATTGGCAACGGCTTCATCTCCCAAATCGTCGATAAGGTTCTTGATGAGGACGGAACGGCAAGCGACCTCGCGATCTGGGTTGTTCTAGGTTAGATGATGACAAGATGACGGTGATGGTGATGATGCTTGGTCTTGGACATACCGACAGTGATCTTGGTACCCTCATTGCTGGCCAGAATGACCTTCTCGACGGGCTTCTCGGTAGTCATTTTGAAGCTGCGGACGTTGAATTAGCGAAACAGTCAGTGGGGGGAAAACCCGAATGATGAAATGTACAGTTGTCGATAATGTGTTTGTGGTGATAAAAGCGCTTGCGCGATTGAAAGAAGTGTTGCGTTGAGTAATGGCGGGGTTGCAAGTTGCAAAGTGAAACAGATGTTGGAGTTGGGTGTTGATGGGAGAATAGAAGAGTTGGGGAAAGACGGTGTAAAGGAAAGGAGTTAAATACCTGTTGGTTACGGAGACAGACTGATGAAAGTTTGTGGCTTTGCGGGAAGGAAACCTTGCGCGCAAACGATAACACGATGAGTTTAGTTGGAAAGAAGCAATATCTTGCTCTTCTTTCGAGTTAAGGTTGGTGTAGCAAGCAGCAGGCAACGCTCAACCCAGGCGGCGGAGGAGAGAAAGGACTGGGGCTTTGGTGGGGAAAGCGGCACTCTGCACGGACCATACGAACCTTTGATCAGATTCATCGCTTCTTTTGACAGTTTCTTTTGTGGGGTTTTGCCATTTTGGCGTTGATGCCTGCCATGGTGGGGTTTGAAGTTTCCCCTCCTCCAACCTGGGACAGGCAGACACTGGATGGAATCAACCAAGAAATCAACCAAAAAGAGGATAAAGTTGCGAGCAAACACAGATTTGGAAGTTGTCTTTGAAAACCTAAATTTCCAGGAAGCAAAGCTGCCGAGTCTCTTTGAAAAGCCGTTGAGGTGCCACTATTGTGACCAACGAGTACCCCGAGTTCTTGGGCCACCTGCAAGTTGCCGGACTGGTAGATCTCCCACCCCGGACACCCACCACATCCACACCTTGTATCATGACCTGCATCGGAATTCGCCCAACCTATCTTGCCGACGGCATGCAAATAAAACGGTTTTGGGCTCATCTGATATTTATAAAACACAAACAGCCTGGAATATCCGCCGGACGAGGCTGATTTGTATGACCCCTCCGTCCCCGGGTCCATCCCCGTCCTTATAGTTATAAGCCAACGGAGCTGTGTTCAGCAGCTGGGCAAAAGTCTCCGTGATGTTTTACGCGTGCCAGTGCCAGTGGAAAGAAGGTTGCACGCCGGGCATCGTTCTGAATGGGAATCCTACATATCCACACAGAATCCACAGACAACTCATATCTTAGGTATACATGCAGCATCTTTGGGAATAAAATGAGGAGAAACAAGTTTGATTTACCATCTCCCAATTGGAACGGTATTCGATGGAACAATGGAATCAAGTGGATCGTTTTCCGGTTTCGTCGGTAATAAGCTTCCAAGTCCAGAACGCATTCGGCATGGTCGCGTAGTCGCGAACAACTGCCCAAAGGAAAAAAAAAAGTTTATGCCCCTGAAAAAGTCCAGAGCCCAGCGGGTGAGCGTGCGGGTGCCTGTGCCAGTTGATGAGACGGGCCCGCGCAGAGCTGCTGTGCCCAGTCCCCGGCTCTGTGTGTCGCGCGCCCGTCAAGCTGGTCGCATCACTTGGCATCCTTGTCATCATCAGCAGACAGGGATTAGAATAAACACCCTGTCATTCGCATGATACGCCAGGGAGTATCTGCCCTTCAGCAGTCGATTTTTACTCCATATCGTACCCCATCTTTCCCGGTTTGTTATTTTTCTAATATTCTATTAATGATCCCGTCATGACCTTGATTTCGTTTCTATCAACCTTTGCGCTTTCTTCGCTGCCCACCTTTACTACCTCTTCTGCTTCCGCGCCGTCCGGTGATGCCCTCTTCTTCGAGTAATCACCAAGTTGCTGCTGCTGCGCGCTCCCTTCTCTTAACTGAGAATACGATCGGATTCTACGGACTTTGCGACGGCATCAGTCCAAAAATATGTGGCGGAGAACATATCTCTTTCTGGTTCTCGTCCGGCTTTGGTTCGCATTATCACCAAGCTACCTACACCCCGACGAAAACTTTCAGGGCCCTGAAGTTATTGCAGGTATGTTGGATATTCTTGTTCTCGCGATTACATCTACAACATGGGTTTCGTGAAGATCGGCTTGGGCTGCTAGGGCTTGACCAGGATGTCAACTAACTCGGTGGGCTTGCAGGCCAAATCTTCAAATATCCTGTGCGACATACATGGGAGTTTACAGCAGAGAATCCGATCCGAAGCGTGTTCCCATTATGGCCCGTATATGGGCTGCCGATGCTCTTGCTGCGATGGTTGTGGATAGGAAACGGCAATGACGGCGAGATTCCACCTATCGCGGTCTTTTGGACCCTTCGGGTGTTGATGTTTGTCGTCGGCTTCGTTCTGGAGGATTGGGCAATCTACGAGCTGATCCGGTCAGCGCGGCATAGACGACTTGCCGTCCTCCTCGTCGCATCCTCATACGTCACTTGGACCTACCAGACGCATACGTTTTCCAACTCGATCGAAACATTGGTGGTGGCATGGAGTCTTGTGCTTATCGAGCGCATCATCGCGAGCCCCCAGCAAGGATCGGTCCTGGCCTCGATGGTCCTTGGAATAGTTACCGTTTTCGGCGCATTCAACCGCATCACATTCCCAGCGTTTCTACTGATACCCGGCCTTCGCCTTTTACCATATTACTGGAAGAATCCCCTTCCATTGCTTGCCATTGTCCTTTCTGGCCTTGGCACCACCATTCTTGCGATCGCGCTTGATACGGCTTTTTACACACCACACTCGATTACCTGGTCCGACTTGATCAGTCGCCCGGTTCTCACGCCTCTAAATAACTTTCTCTACAACATCGACCCGAATAACCTGGCCAAACATGGCCTTCATCCTTGGTACCAGCACATCCTGGTCAACCTACCACAACTGATCGGCCCCGCGGCCCTACTCTTATTCACCAGACCACAGCTATCGTTGCGCTTATACTCTGCAATTTCCGGCATAGTGGTATTATCCCTCTCAAAACATCAAGAAGCGCGATTCCTACTCCCGACAGTCCCGCTTATTCTCTCATCGATCCGTCTCCCCAAATGCGAAAAAGTCATGCGCTTATGGATGGCAGCATGGATCATTTTTAACCTCATATTTGGGGTGCTCATGGGGATATATCACCAAGGAGGAATAGTTCCCGCTCAAGTATTCATGAGCAAACAACCAGACGCGACAAG